CCTCTACAACGAAACCGACATGGGCGAAAATACCCCCTAGTGTGAAAAAATGTTCATGCATGAAAGCCATTCCCACTTTTCTGCTCCTCCTATGACGAAAAGTCCCACTGTTCCATTATACGAAATCTTTTTCTCCGACATAAAATTTGCTACAGTGAAAAGTCCCCTGTTGTGAAAAATTTCTTGCTGCAAACATGATTTCGTTGTCGAGGAGTTTCACTGTACAATGTGGTGAAAGTCATCGTCTTCATACGGTTGCGTCCGTTCAAGAGTGTCAACGTAATCTGCTTGCGGATGAGGTTAGCGGTTAGCCTAGCGGTTAGTTCGGCTACTCCGACTGCCACTCGTCCCAACTCAACTCTACTCAACTTAATTTATCGAGCAGTTTCGTAACAACCACAGCGTGCTGGACGCAAAGTCAAAATCTGATATAAAAGCAAAGTCATGAAAACAAGTTAATAACAAATAACAGCAAACACAATAAAACACAGAACAACGTCACGTCTCACGCTGAGTTGAAAGCCGAAGAATAAAAAATATGTTTCAGGCGAATTTTAAAGATGGAGAGAGGGGGCTTGCATTCCAAAGTAAAAGTTTGATCCCTTCTGAGGCTCCGCCTAGTCATCGGTACCTCCAGTCGGACCCGAGGCGACGGGCTTTTTGTTATCATTATTAATTCACTCACAAATGATAGGACGCCATTTGAAAATGTAAGCGGATGCTTCGATTTACAGGAGGAATCAAGCGCTACTATTTGCTTTTCCTACCTGATATCATTGTTGATAATAATGTGTGTCCCTAACTGGCAGCCCCTTGCAATTAATCGGGAGCCAATAACTAGCATCCATTTGCAAAAGGTTGATGACCCCAGCTCTGAAGTCACTGGACCGTCACGCGACGTAAACATCAGCGAGTGACATCCCGTCGATAAATGATCTCTTCCAAGGTCCAATTTAATTGAATCCGGTGCAATCTCATTTCATTGGTATGTACTGTCACTAGTTGCAATGTCATCAGTCACGGGGCAGCCAATAAAAGCCCGAGGCCTCGACCTCTCCAACCTTTGGAGCGGAGCAGGAGCGTTCGTCTGGAGAGCCTTGCCAACATGGCCGCACAAGCCTCCTTCAAGGTGAGAGCCTCTTTGCAGATGGAAGTGGGCTCAAAGTCAAAGATTGAGCACGCCTCTACTCTCCACGTCTTGTGACGCCCGAGGAATTAAATTAGCGACACAAATTTAACTGACTGCGGCAAGAATCTGTCCAGAGGAGATTTTTTTTTGTTTGTTTGTTTGTTTTTGTGACCAGGACATAGACGATCAGGAACGGGGGGGGGTGAAAATTTGAATTAAGTAGAGGAGCAGTTAAGGCGACGGAAACAGTATGCGGGTTAGGCGCTTGGTAATCATCCAGTAACGTGATACTTTCGGGGTGACCAAAAAATTCGGAGGAAGTTACTTCCTGTTTGACGTTTCCCTCCAGAAACGGTTTCCCCGGATTCCGAACCACATCCATCACCTTTTGAGATGATCCGAGATCTGATTTTATTGTCGATCTAATTCCCCGCAGCCAGCGGCATCTGGAAGGCCTCCGTGAGGTCAACGTACTTCCGACATAGCGGGCGGTCTTTTCAACAAAACGGAGATGACTGGCATAACACGTAAAAGTAAATTAATTAGGAAGTTCGAGTCAAGGTAAATGCGACCTCCGGGGCATGATTCGGTCGGCCGGGGCCGCATCTGACAGGAGGGAATAAAAAGAAAAAAAAAAATAAAGCGTGTGCATGGCATCGTTTTAATGACCGCCGATGATGGGGAGCGCTCGCTCGTTATTAGTTGCGCAATCATCGAACGGCCCCCGCGGGCCGCTGCGATTCGCGGCGGCCCAGCGCGGAACTGATTTGGGTGGACGGCTGACCCGAATGTTATCGTCAAGGGAAGACGGATGGAGCGAGACAAATGCGCGACTCCCTCCCGCTCTTTAGCCCTCAACCCCCCCCTCCCTCCCTCCCCTCGTCCCTGGTGAGGAGCAGAAAGTGGGAGAGCGCCGAAATGAAGTGACATCATCAGTGTCAACCGCATTCCTGCGGAGGGAGGGGTGGGGGCGAAGAGAAGGAGAAGGAGACGAGGACGAGGGAGAACAACTTTTGAGGTTACGAGGCCGTTAGCCCCCCCCGCCCCCCTA